AAGAAAGATAAATACGGTGGTGTGGTTGATATTCTGTTTATCTGGGCGTAAACAATTCGGGGTTTTAAAACTTGTTAGGTTGTAAGTTCCTTTTATTACTTAAAGCGTAAACTATCGATTGTAAACTACTCAAAGTTTCGCTTAAGAATGATTGCAAAACAGGAAACATTACAGCATATATTAGCTGAATCTTTATTGAATATACGTGTGAGGAATAAAAGCTATTGCGTATGGTAAATAACGATATGTTTGTTCCATTCGTATATACTTTAACAAACTAAAGAATAAATCCAGTTTAAATTGCTGAATTAAAGTCAAGAAAATTATTATAAATAACTGATATTAAATATAACGTTTATGAACGAAATTAATGCAAGTATAATCCATTCTGTTGTGAAAGAATTTATGTATTAAAGCCAACACTTCTATGTTCAGAATACGTTTAAAATGTAATATACCTTCCCACATAGCAATTTTTTTTTTATGGGGCAGGTAGCAGACATTTGCACAGAGCTGTTATTGGTATCATCGTTCGGTGACTCTTAAACTAAGCATGTCCCACTATTATTATTATTATGGAATTATAATGAAATACAATTTGCCCGTTGAATGACATCCGGGAATTTGCTGATTCCATTTCGGAATAGCTTCTGTAGGAGGATAATAAAATCAGAAAACTCTAGCTTAAAAATTAATTATTTGAAGATTTTTAGAAACTGAATGTCTTTAAATGCTCAATAAAAAGCTTAGAGTATGTTTTTCTACAGAAAAAAACTGAAAAGCAATTTAGACGGGTGCAGTAGTATAAGCTAAATATATGTAAAAACAAGATTCCGGGTAATAAAACATCAGATATTGGAAAATACGTTTGATATTGAAAACATTAACAGTTTGTTTTTCAATTATTTTATTTCCTGTTATTTAATGTTACGTTAGCTACCAAAGCAATTTTCAACCATGCAGCCTCATTAATTTCTCCATTCAAGTTCGCGTAGGATCCTTATTTTATCATTCATTCGGAATGGTAAATTTCCGTTTCTCTCCGGTTTTGACACTTAGTGAGGCAAAAAATCTTTAATTTAGCTTTCAAATTATAAAATCACACATTGTTGAAAACAGCCCTATTTAAAAGTAATTGTATTTCCCCTTATATAGTTTTTCTTTATTTAAATTATTTATTTATTATATCTCTTTAATTGTTTTAATCCATAACGTAATTAATCCATATAGTTTACAGTATCCTAACTAACTGATAATTTTTACATGCATTTCTACCATTACTGTAATTGATAAAAGATGTTTCTGTAGCTATACCGTACGTAGAGAACAATTATGTTTCCCAATTTGTTAGCTAGAGAGTTTTTGATATACGAATTTACGAATTTTACGAATATCCTACATAAAAGTTAACTTTCTAGCTTACGACACAAAATAACACGAATCCTATGAATTCTGAAAGTAAAAGAGTTAGTAACTTCAGTAAAATGAAAATACATATTACATAAAAAAAACTCGAAAATGAGGCATTAAATGAATAAATGTATGTTTCGTGCTTTTTGTTAAGGTATTTGCTCAGTTTTGCGTCCATTTCCCTCCAGTTCTCTCTCTCTTTTTTTTTTTTTTTTTTTTTTTTTTTTTTTTTAAACCAAAGTGTCTAAATTTTATGTTCGACATTACAGTTTCGGAGCACGTTTCATATTTTTGGACAGGTCAGATTTTTATGATAATTCTCAAGAGGCGTATAGGAATTTCGTAGGTTTCTTGCCGTTGCATGATGAATATTTCAAATGTCATGGGCGTAATGGAAGTTTTGTTATTTTTAGTAAGGAAATTATGGTAATAAAAACTTTACTAAGAACCGTTTGTACGCTCATTTTCCTTGTATTAAAGTTACGTATGCCTCTCATACCTTACATTGAAACTTTTTTCATGAAGTTCCTAGTTTTAAGTTTTATAATGTTCATTAATTTCTGTATTGTATTTATGCATGCCATAAATAAATTAATAATGTGATATAAAACAATATACATTTTTTAAATCATATTAGACTTTACACAATTTTAGTAAAATGCACTAAAAAATTTTAAAAAAAATCTTTACTGTCATAACATTACTGGTCAGTTAAAATTAAATCACGAAACTGCTAAACAGCAATAATAAATTTTCCAATCAAAATATCGCAGAGAAATTTAAATAAACCGAATGTTATCATTTCCACAGAAAATTCTTTCCTCTAATTAGAATAGCAACGAAATATGGCATGATCTCTCTTTCTAGGTTCTCCAACGTATACGAAGTTACATTCAGTTTATCTCAGTTTTTCTTTAAAAGTCCGCTATTTTAGTGTCTTTCAATCGTTATTAGCAACTACGAGTATTAAATATGATTCATAAATTCTGGAAAAGTATTGTCAAAACTCGTTAACTAAGAGACAGATACCGACCGAACAAGCTTCACTCGGTAGAATACGTAGGATGCTTGCAAAGTTCTGGAATTTAGGTATAATTTTTAAATTTTGTCAGTATTCATCAGGATTACAATGCAGGTTTTCGACATAGTCCCCAGTTAATTCAATACACTAATCTTAATAAAAAAACGTATTTTTAAGCCATCCTCAAAGACTTTTTTCCGTGTCTCCTCTCCAACACCGGGCAGGGTTAAACGCTCAAATCGAACATCTGTATTTACAAATCTGTATTTACAATTAGTAATTTCAAAGATTCAAAACAATGAAACAATGAAAACAAAGCACATTAATTAATCAAGATCAATTATCAAATGTACTGAAAACTAGAGTACTAGCATAAATTTTAACTGCTGTTGTTCCGCATATGCAGTTAAAAGAGATTCGAGAGAAGAAGAAGGACAAGATGAGTAGGGCCTTACATTGTCAGTGAAACCTAATGTTTTAATTGCTGTGAGTTCTTTAAAATCTAGTGCCAGCCTTTCAAAATTAATCCAGCGTTTGTTTATAGTAAAATGACGAATGTTTCCGAGTGCCAAAGTTTCAAATCATTCCAGTGCTTTGAAGACCATCGTTCTTTCTGTGAATCATTTAGTACTACAGCTATTCCATCGTGTAATTTATGCGTCAACAATCCTCTCCGTTGAAAGTTAGGGTAAAATCCTACGAGAGACCACACCCTTGGCAACAAACTGGTAAAGTTCAGAATCACCCACTGCTTCGCGCGTTTCTCAAAATCGACAACTTGAAAATAACAAGTCAAATAATTGCACAAACTCGGTATCCATGTACACATTGACCTATTTTCACTTAAAAAAACATCAGAGAATTGCACAAACTTGGAATTGCACACTGCCTTGACTTTGTCCATGTACATATCGATACGCGCCATGTAAGTGAGCACGTCAAGGGTGTGGGCTCTGCTAAGGTCCAACCAAAGTTAGTTCAAAGTTGCTTCTGTCGTCCAAGCTGAACTGAAAAATGGGAATGGTTTTTCTTGCACGATTTATTTCGATTTCTAACATTTGGGATATGTTTTTTAAAGGTTTTATTTAGTTCAACTAAAAATATCATATTGAAATTGCTAATCATTATTATTTTATTTAAAATCTGAATGCATATTGCTGTTTATTCTAGTATTGGATTACAAGTATAGAATTGTTTTGTGAAAAATTGCATTAGAAATTAGAATATTAATAATTTAGTAAAGTAAGTAAAGAAATGTTCGATTTTTAGTTATTTTTAGGGAAAGCTGTTGAAATAAATAATTATATCTTTGAATTTTTGTTGAAAATTTTGAATACGAATTTTATAATTATTCTAAAAAGGAGGTAGATATAAAAAATAAGTGAAATTAGTACAGATAGGTAATATGGAATTATAGTAAATGCATGTTTAAAATTTATGGGTGATTGTATGTTAAGTGTAGAGTACGTTGAGGGAGTATTGGCTCAGAAACAGAGGCACGTTACTACATCTGTACACCCTTCAGGGGCTCACTCTTTTGAGTACGGGTGTGGCAGTCCCGATGTACGCTAGCCCTTCAGGGGATCGCTTTGGTGAGACGGGCGTCACGTCGCTGTTAGCCCCAGTGATCTGTCTCACTTTCTTTTTCTCCTTTTCCTGTCTTCCGTTTTTCCCTTTCTTTCTCCCTTTGTGGTTTTCTTCTCGGAGGTTTGGGGCTCCAGGTGAGAGACTGCTACATCTCTTTGTTTCAGCTCCTCGCTGAATGTAAACTGCCCGCGTGTTTGCCGTGCGTGGAGACCCGTAAGGCTGGAAAGGAGGGTTCTGGTAGTTGAGGGGCGAGTACTGTCCCCAACACACTGTTTTTGGCCTCTGCTTCAGTTTAAACGGTGGTACATAATGGCCCCGTATGTATCAATGGGCTGGTCAAGTTTGTTTTTGGCTTGGGTGAACATCTTGAATTTAATTCCACCTCCACATATAAAAAATTACTACTCTCAACATTTTTGGTAATTTTGATAAAGCAGTACTTGCGACGTTGTTTTCCGACACATCTTTGAAGAGCACAGATGCAGGTACAACCGCCATACCCCTATATACGGATGACTCAAAGTCCAATAATCAAGTTGGAATGGTAATTGTGTGTTGTGATACCAAGAAAAGCTTTAGGCTGCCTGAAGCCTTTTCTGTTTTTTTCTTCAGAAATATTTTGCCATCTATGCTCTGATATATATTTCTAGACAGCACTGCAAGAAATACATCATCTATACGGATTGCAAAAGTGCTCTGATGTCGATGAAAACCTTCTATAATAATGACAACTCTTTAGTTTGGGAAGTAGATAAGCTAGATCAAAGTTTGAAGGATCAGGGTTACAGCATCATTTACTGCTGGGTACCTGGAGATGTTGGAATCAAGGGAAATGAATTATCAGATATTGCAGCTAAGTCGCTGTTGAAAGGGTCGACCAGAGTGCTCCTAAACTTGTTGCGAAACTTCGTCAATTGTGTGGAATATGTGTAAATCTAGGAACTGTAAGAACAGTAAAATGATCTACAGGATATCATGGGCGAGTAGCAAGAAGAAAATTTTATATCAGTAAAGAAAAAACAAAAACTTCGACTCGAAAATCACAAAATCGATGAAACAAACGACGTCTGATTACTGTCCAAAATTGCTGTTTGCTGATGAAAGTAAATTTAGCAAGATGCAAGTTTAACATCTTCGGCTGAGATGAACGAGTGCTGGTTTGGGGAAAACCCAAAGACGAGTTTCGGAAGCAAAACTTAGTACCAAATGTTAAGCACGGCGGGGATGTATCAACAGTATGAGGATTTATGGCACGTTCTGGTGTTGGTAATATAGAGTTTATAGATGGCCTTATTTAATGCTTTATAGATGGCCTAAGTATTTTGACATCTTGAAGCGAAAAGAATGTAAGTTTTTGTCATTTTTAGCTGTTACTAAATGTGTTAGATTATTTTTGTGAGAACATTTTTACTCATTTAACAAACGCTATTGATTTTAATAAATATTTAACAAACGATATTTTCATCTTTTCGAAAATATATTTACTAGAAAAATATGTTGAACCTATATATAATCAAAGTAAAAGTCTTTCTTTTCGTTTTAATTTATTTTAGTATTTATGTTCATTAAAGAATACAAAATTCAAAGTGTTCGATCATTTTTGTGAGCCACTGTATATAGTATTTCTTGCCGATTTTGTTCAATGTATTGATCAAATAAGAAGATCATGGATATTTTGCTCATAAGAGCGTAAGGCTTATTATGTTTGGAAAAAAGAAGACCATACATTCTCCATTACCCATCAGTGTTGGTCAAAACATCACATTTTCCATTTATATGCAGCTAAAAGTATTCAAAAACATGGAATCCATTCTAAACATGAACTTTTAAGGAGCTATCTTCGGAATATTTGGGTTCTGGCTCATGATTTCTTTATAATCTCTCTTTAGCTTCAGCTTTTCGAGCATGTTTTCTTAGTTGCTTTGTACTCTCTTTTCGATCAAGAGATGGCGCCAGTGGTTTCGTTTTCTATTATTTAATCTAGAAAATTCTCTAACCTGTTTTTCTCGTATAGGTGCATGTTTCCTATTCTTCATTTTTTCTCCCACAATTAAGGAAGTACTATTCAAGCTTCGAAACTACAATCCTGCAAATTTGCTCACATTACGTCGATTCTTGTGACTTATTTTTAGAAGCTTTAACATTTATTTAGAAACTACTATCATATTTACAGTGTAATGCAAAACGATTGTAGTTTTTCAGCTGCTTTGGCAAGATGCAAGTTTATTTCTTATTTTGTATTTTGATATTTATTTAAATCTTATTCAGTAATTTTTACCATAATCATTACCTTCGAACAGGCTAATCTTCAACTTTGCGTTGATTCATCTACATTTAAGTGGGCGCAGCCAACTAATTGCCGAGCTGGTAAATAACACTGAATACTTGTTATTCGATGTGGGTTAGGATCTCAGGAAACAGAATGGTATGGTTGGTTTCGTGGTTTTCTCATGCGTAAAGTGCATATAAGAAAATTTCTCTTGAAACACCCGCCACGAAGGCATCGCTTTACATAAGCATATACTACTGTGCTTTGCCGTTATCGGACAAACAAACAAACAAATCAAGTGGGTCCACATGAAGCCAAGTAAATAAAATCTCTGAACTTTGTTAGTTACTTCTTTATTTCCCAACTATTTAATGGACTGATTCCATGGGATTTCGATAACACTTTCTATGCGTAATCTAACTATGAGCAAGTTTCTCTTAGTTTATTTGTTTGGATTATCGCAAAACACTCGAGGGCTACCTTGCTAAGGGAAGAGATGTCTCCGTTGAGGACATTTTAAGAAAATTAGCTAGTATTTACGTTACAGGAGCTGCTTTGTTTGAACATGAAAAATCTCACGAGGGCTATGAATTTAATCCAAGGGGAGCCTTCGTGGATTACTTTCCAAACGGAACTGTCTGCTGTTCATATTACTCATAGAGAAAACCTTGAAAATGTCCAACCATCTAAACCACTTGTCTACTGGCCGGCTGAAAATCCCTTAGGAAATTATTCACGAAGGCACTCATCCTAATCCTTATATTTACTTGAAGCTCATAACAGTTTTTAAGGGGACAGTCGAAAGAGGTAATTTATCCTAAGACAAAATTAGTTTTTAGTCCCAAAGGGGCTTTGTTCCTGAAGGACTATTGTTTTCGTTTTGTGATTTTGCGTTGAATCACTATAAATGTCCGTTTCAATTTTCAAACTGTTGCCACCCAATGTTAGAGTCCTGCATTATATTTGAAGAAATTAAATAATGAAAAATCTGCATAAATGCAACAATGGTACATTGAGCCATCGAATTTTTTTGAATGACGTAATCCTCCTACGATTATGTACGATGCATGTGGAAGACCAATTTGAAATTTGGAATTTGTTTTCCTGATATTGTTAAAATTTTGTAAACTTCGATTTTTGCGACAATCAAGGCAATTTCAAATCGAGCCGTGGCAAGTTGTACAGATGTGCTTTTTTTCTTGCATTTCTAAACTGTATGAGAAATTCTAAGTGATCAAACGACTATTTGCGATATTTTGTGAACTTTTTACGTTTTCGGAACGCAATTTAAATGCTGAAATATTTCAGATTTTGTTTAAAAACACGCCTCTTTTCTAAACAACTAGATTCACAAGTGCGTTTTAAACCTCCCGTGTCCCCCCATATTATCGCACCTGTATTATTTTAAAGAAATTAAAATTATGAAGAATCTGAGCTGATTTTGTTGAACAAAAGTTGTTACCTACATTATCAAAATTTTAATAACTAACTTAGTCCTCTATCCAAAGATCTGCATCTGAAAGCTCGAATTTTGAATTTCTAATTGGGCTTATTATCTATTGTCACATTTTGTAGAAGATTAATGGGTATTTGATAAAAAAACTCAAATAGTTTAACACGAAGCAGTGACAACACTATAAGAAATAAAATATTTATATCTCCAGCTTGCGAGACTGTTTATCGGAAATTCTAAAAATATGCTGTTTTTAAATATTTGGTGATTTTACTGTTGAATCAAATTTTATCTGGCGTTGTGCCAAGATCGAGGTATTTAATAAATAAAGTTAACACAAAACGTTAATAATAAAAAGACGAAAAACACTTTTTTTCTAGTCACCTTACTGAGAAAACTGAAGACTCATATGATAAACTGAGAAAAGAGTGAATATAAAAATATATGCCAACACGTAACAATGAATGCATTAAAAATTTTTAATTTTGTTAAATTAAATAAAAAATTTTGTGATTTTGCTCTTGAATTATATATGGCGTAAGTGTAAAGAAAATAATGCTTAAGAATGAAGCTGAAAAGGCGAAACAAATGAGTTAGCAGGTAAACAATTAGCAGTTAGTTATGGTTAGCAATGGAACAGAAGACTCCGAGCGCAGCGAGAGCGTAAAAAAAAATTTAACAAACCCTTTTGGACGACCGTTGAAATTTGAAACCTTTCCGATTTTTTTTTTCAGCCGGAATTTAAACGAGAATTTTTCTAATTCGTTGTCGTAAGGTCTACAGCTCCATTGTAAGACAAAATACAAAACGCTAATCAATCTTAGTATGAATTTTAGTACGAATTTTGAGTTTCAAAAGGTATGCCCCTCTTCCTGTAGTTAATTACTCGGCCCACTAAAGGGTGACAGCGGAACCTTGGTTGAGAAGCATTTAATAAACAATATGCAGTGGTTTCTATAAAAACAAAGAACTTCTGCTGTTTAATTCTGTGCATGTTTCTGAATTATGGCAAAGTAAAGTTTTACACATTTAATATATAGTGGTTAACGATAACTGCCATATCGAAGGGCTAAGGTTTGAATCCCAGCGAAGGGCTTCTGTGAATAGTTTCTGTGCGGTATGGGAGCACTCTAAATATGCGACAAGCCGAAAGTCTTCTCGAGAGGTTGATGGTAGAGGAAGGCCGGGGGGGCGAAAGATCCTCCGTCACGTTCCTCAAGGGTGTTCTCCATCAAAACTGGGGCAGAAATGAGGGAAGTCATATTGTCACTTGAATATTAATTACTCCGAGGCTGTAATCATGGACAGGCGTAATCTTTCTCTCCTTGGCACAATGAATTTCGTCGACTTGCTCTGATATTACTGTCAGCCAAGTGAGATAGGTCACAGCAGACATGACCTCAAGTAAGACGATCACATCTACGGAAGCTCAAACTCATCTGGAACAATGGGTGCCCGTCATAGAAAATGGTTCACTGCAGCATTAATAATCAATAGTAATAAGATTAATTGAAAGTGTTAAAAGGGGAGAACGTAACATCATTACATAGTATAAAACAACGTCGCTTTCTCTGTCCCTATATCCATATGTATCTTTAAAACTACGCAACGGATTTTGATGCGGTTTTTTTTAATAGATAGAGTGATTGAAGAGGAAGGTTTATATGTATAATAACATCCATTGAATAGTGGAGAAATACTGTTATTTTTGAGGTTTCTAATGTGATATCGTAAATAATTACATTTTTCCCGCTTACATTGCAAAGCAGGCTGAAAATAAGAGATTATCAAAATAATGTACTAAGTATTGTACACACTGAAAAGGTCTACGGATTTAAAAATTGCAGGACGTAGCGTTTGCGGCGGTACCGGCCGGCCGGGGAGGCGGGAGCGTGCCTATAAATAGCGCGTCGGAGGCCGCGGTTCTCTCTCTAGCACTTTGAATTTAGCAGCGATCGGACGCGTTTATTATCGGAGCACTCTAGCGAGGAAAACAACAATATACTTAATAAATACGTGTTTTTCAGCGCGACAACGTATCAGTTATTTACTTCATAATAACGACAACGTATCAGTTATTATGAAGTTACGATAAATAATTGTATGGTAGTAGTTTTAAAATATAAATGATATTCTATTCTAAGGTAGATGAATTTTTAAATCGCACTTATAGTAATTATAAGTACATAAGGTTAGATAAGATTAGATTAAATAAAACCCATAATTTATGGATTGGAATTCTAGTAAGATCTTGGTTAAAATTTAGAGTTAAATCAATTTAAATTAGGGAAGTTATTCAAAAATCGTAATTTAAGGTCAGGTATATAAGTTCAGAAAAAGAACTTAATAGAATAGTATTTTGTTGTGATGTTTTTACGTAGAGAACTTAATAGAATACGTATCTTATACGTTTTTCAGTGAGTGACATAGGCTATATATTTTATACCCGTGCGAAGCCGGAGCGGGTCGCTAGTAATTATATAAATTGAAAATTTCAAAGAAATGAAATGAAAATCAGTTTATGTAAAACTCGTGAAATGCAAGAAGCGATGAAAATGATCAGTGCCAATTTCTTTCTTGAGTAGGCTGCAAAAGCTTCCGTCAAGCGCAATACAGGATTCATGTCTATGCAACACAAGTTGCAAAATTGGAAAAAAAAAAAAAGCCCCCACCAAAAAAAAAAAAAAAAAAAAACAAAATCCTGAAGTTTCAGATTTTAAGTTACGTCCAAAGAGGCGTTCTTGAACGCTTGTGTGTTACCTATTATTATATCATGTTTTTGCACATGAACATAAACTTCAGTTCAGTAGCAATGTCGAAACAAATTTTTAGCATATCTTTAGAATCGATACAGCCCGCGCAGAGATAAAAAGTTTTTTCGCCGTAGATTGTTGCATCGCTCTCTTTTAAATCGTTGAGTTTGTTACTCAAAAATTCGTGAAAATTTACAAAATATAAATCGATCATAAACCAAATTCTAAATTTCAAACTTGGTCTTGCACTGCCCATATTCGTAGGTGATTACGTCATTCAAAATCGATGGCTTTAGGACCGTGTTTATCACAATGCGAGAAATAGACGTACATTTATGCGATTTTTCATTTTAATTTCTCAAATACATGCAGGACTCTAACATTGGGGTGCAACATTTAAAATGAAATGGACATATATAGTGATTCAACGCAAAATCGCAAAACGAAAACAATAGTCCTTTAGGGACAAAGCCCCTTTGGACTAAAAAATGGGAGAATGCTTTCAGATATTTAGGCAGCATAAACTTATGTGTCTTCGAAAGTGAAAATAATAAGTTGCTGGTTCTAAAATTACAGGTTGATTGCAATAATTGTTGAGTGTTACAGTAAAAGTTAATGTAAGAATATTTATAACAGAAGAGCACAATCATGGATAACGGTGTGCCGTCTTAGAGAGGGTTTACTGTATATACTACATAAATACTTGTATTTTAAATAATTGGAATAAAATGTGTTAAATAACTTCTATATTTTATTTGTAGGTCAGGACTGTTTCCAGTTTGAACAAAATGGTCACATGGTACTTAGCTGTAACATGAGGCGGGAGGCTTTTCATACGGGGGCCCAGGCACAAGTGGATCTCAGCCTGAACCTCCAACTCATTCAAGCTGTAGAATCACGGGCAGGAAGAATAGGTCAGAAAATGGCCTCCAAAGCCGGGGACCAATGCCATAGGGCATAAGAAGTAAGTACCTTTTAAAATTCTACAATGTTCTGAGTGTCTTCTTTTCTAGCCAACGCCTATCCTTGGCCCATAAGGTCATTTGGTACTTTGCAGCTAACAGAAACGGCACTTGTCAGATAGAGGATCTTGGGAAAGAAGTTCTTTCCTCGCGTCAGGGGCAGGGGCGTAGCTAGAGTTCCCAGCGCCCGGGGACAACTGAAGAATTTGCGTCCCTTTCTATGTGCCAAGAATGGAAAACATTTCATTAGAACCTTTCGTAGCATCAGTTTGACGCCTCTTGGATGCTGCGCCCGGGGACAGATGTCCCCCCTTGCCCTTTACCTAGCTACGCCACTGGTCGGGGGTTAGCATCATTCATAGTAGTTGTGAAGAATAACCAGTTTGGAAGAATGCCAATTTGTTAAATTATACTATACGCATGACAAACAATGCAAACGTAATTAAATCACAGTCAGGTGACGCGGTTGCCTATTTGGAAGAAGGCAGTGAAAGTGTAATCAAAGGTAATGCATTCAATAGTGATACGCTGTACTGAATTAAATATTTCTGGAAACTTGAATTCAGAAGTAAACTGCCCTCTGGTTCCGAAAGGGTGAAGGAGTCTTGTCCCCAACAACAGATCTTCACCTCTTCCATTCTAATTCAGCAATTTAAACTCATAGCTCCTATTGTGAGGTTCATTCTCCAGATGGTTAGTGCGCTCGGGTGCTAGTTGTGCGATCCGTAGGGAAGATCTGATGCCCCATTCATATCTACCTACCTAGTTACCTATCTTTTACCACTACGTCCAAAGACGGTCTGTATCCATTAAGGTCCAAAGACGATCTGAATCCATTAAGGTCCAAAGACGGTCTGAATCCATTAAGGTCCAAAGACTGTCTGAATCCCACCTAGTATAATAGTAGTTACAGCAGTGAGTCTGCTGATCTAGTTCCAGACAGATGCTGTTAAAGGAAATATATCAGATTGGAAGTGCAAAAATATACGTGAGTGGACGTGAAAGAATTCTAGGGATAGGAAAATTCTCTAGAATCCATTAAGGTCCATTAAGGTCCAAAGACGGTCTGAATCCATTAAGGTCCAAACACGGTCTGAATCCCACCTAGCATAATAGTATACCTAGCATAATAGTAACTATAGTTACAGCAGTGAGTCTGCTTGATGTAGTTCCAAACACATGCTGTTAAAGGAAATATATCTAGTTGGAAGTGTAAAAATATACATCTGAGTGGGACGTGAAAGAATTCTAGGGATAGGAATCGTCCTTAGAATCCCAAAGACGGTCTGAATCCATTAAGGTTTAAAGACGATTTAAATCGCCGGGACTCGAACCACGGACCTTTCGAATACGCGTCAAGCGTGCTGACCACTAACACCACGAAAGCATGCTAAAAAGGGAAATACCTTATACGGTTAACTAACAAATGTCCAGTCGTTCGATTAAAAAACAATGCCAATTTAGAGGGAACATGTAATTTTTCCTTAATCCAATTTTAAGAATATGATATTATCTTATTAAAAACCAAAGAGGCGTTAAAAGGTTAAAAAAATGTTTTTGTTGTCAGTAAAAAAAAATTTCGATAGAACTGGAATTCTTCATTTTCAAGTAAAAATTTATTTCCCAGTTAAAGAACAATTTTTTTTTTTCTAAACCTCCTTTTTTTAAATTCTTTTGGAGGAAGAAAAAATTGGGGATTAAAAAGAGGATTTAGAAGTAGAGTAGGGACAAAAAAGCAAACTTTATTTGCATTTTACGATTTAGATTGCGGTAATCTTCAACTAATTAAGTATGAGGTTTTTATTATGTTTTCCAAAAGCTTTTTTTTACCCCCCCTTTTCTGCAGAGTGCTTAAATTGAAAGATCGTTTGTATTTTTAGTTATCTTCATTTATAAAAATAAGAAACAGTTTTGAAATTTATATTTGTGTAATTCATGACATTTATTATTTACTCGAATACTCATTATACTTATTTCTGGTTTAAGTCAATCTATTAATAAAAAAGAAAAGATATTTCTAATACTCAGAGAGTAATTAATTTTAAAAGCAACAGCAATGCTGTTGTCAATGGCATATTTTAGAAAAAACGTAAGTGATTTTTTAACACTCATTAATGATTTATTTACTTAAATAAAAAGATTATTTCCACAATTCTTTAATAATTCTTTTAATATTTATTTTACTCAATCCTATTTATTAGCCCAAAGGCGGTTAGCCCAGAAGGGCTATTAATTTCGTTTTGGCATTTTGCGTGGATTCACGATAAACGGCGAATCACTTTGTTGATCAAACTGTTGCCACCAAATATTATCGTCCTGTGTTTTATTTAAAGAAAATAAATGATGAAGAAACTGCATAAATATATATAATATTTCTCGCATTATGACAAAACAACGGTACCTAGAGCCACCCAATTTTGAATAAAGTAATCCTCCACCAAATATGGGCATCTGGAAGACCTAATTTGGAATTTGGAATTTGTTTTATTATCGATTTCAGATTTTGTAACACTTCAAACGAATATTTTAGTAACAAACTCAACGATTTCAAAGCGAGCCATGGCAACACTGTACGGGGGGGGGGAAGAGATTTTTATCTCCATTGTGGGAGACTGTGAATTGTAAATTCTAAAAAGTATGCCCATTTTAAAATTATTTTGCGATATTGCTGTTGCATTGAATTCTATGGTGCAAAGATCATGATATCTTTCTATCTAAGTGCAAAGATCTATCTAAGTGCAAAGATCATGATATTTAATAAATAAAGGTATCAAAACGTTAAAAAAAGTTCCTTTAGGCGTAATGTGAAATATGAAAGCTTTCAGAATTGTTTTTTAAATATTTATTTTATTACATCCTGCAAGAAATAAAATAAAAAAAAAGTACCATAGATTAGTTTTGAAAACCTCTGCCAATAGATTATTAGATCATTTTAAATTTTGGTATAATTTTCTTACACATAAAAATCTTTCAGAATTACCTCTTTACGGTCTAAATTGAAATATTAATACATAGATATAATTCAGAAATTTTGCAGCCAAAACTACATTAGTTAGAGTTTTATAGTATCGAACATTCTTCGTAAATGAAATGAAGATGGAATTGTTCTTTCTCAAAGCTTTATATAAAGATGGTATTGTTACTTTCTCAAAATTTTCTGTTAAATTTTCAATGACAAGATGTTATATATGAAAAACTCTGATGTGATCATACGACATTCCTCTAGTTCAGCATTTTAAATAACGAATGAGCTTTAAGTAAACGATCACTTCCGTTAGATTGTTTGTAAAATAAAATCTAACTTATTGTTCCAATAAAATAGAAAGGTGTGTAATACAGAATTTTGGGTTATATTTTATTAGGTATTATTAGTTGTATGTAAAAACAGGTTTTTCTAAATTTACACTAAAATAATAAAATGCTTGCACCTTTATTTTTTTTTAATTAAAATTATACACTCTTTTGCAAAAAAATCGAAGCACCAAGAAGGACTTTTTGCGATCGTGATGAAATAGTATCTGGTATACTGGTACATAATCACATTAAGATTTTAGCCAGCTCGTTTTGTAAATGTTTTAAGCCATCTGCGTGAGTGAACCGACATTGAAAGTTTTCTACGCAAAATGCCAAAACGAAATACTATATAACCCTTCTGGGCCAACGTCCTTTGGGCTAATAATATTCGTTTACTTCCATTATTACGGTTATCTAAAATAATGTGAAGTAAATCTTTTTTATGGTTAAAGTTATAGTGAAAAAAAGATTTTATTTTCATTTTCCATCTAAATATATATACAGTGGTGGCCAAAATTGTGGACACTTTTGGAAATTTTTATGTTTTTGAAATTTATATGCTTATAGAAAACGTTATGTTTCACAAAATGCAAATTTTTATATCTGTTATATCAACATCTGTTAATCTTCACAGTTGCTTGAATGCAGTCAGGATGAAGCTCTTCTCCTATTCTACGTCTTACATATTTTCGCCCATCACTACCGAATAACGATATCTTAGTTTCATCACTCCATATAACTTGTGACCACTGATCATCTGTCCAATTAATGTGTTCCTTTGCCCACTGTAGTCTTCTTTTTCGTTGCTGAAAATTAAGATAAGGCTTTTTTCGTGGAATTCTACCTATCAACCCAACATCTGTTAATCTTCTCCTAATTGTTCTTGAACTGACAGAAACACCAGCATCATTCAGATCACTTCTGATGGCCGCTGATGACACTTTTCTATCTTGGAGACATAATCTTTTTATTCTTCTGTCATCAATAGATGTGGTGCACCTTTTTCGGTCTTTTCCTTCTTTGTTTTTTATTGAATTTGTCTCCTGATATCGTAAACAAAACTTTCGGACTCCAGATGTAGTCACTGAACCCACCCACCTGTCTTGCATTTTCAGCATAGGAAAGACCAATTTCTCGTAACACAATAATATTACATCTTTTTCTAGGTGTCCAATCTACTCTTTTATTTGATGTCATTGCTTCTTGACTAAATATTAAAAATTTTTTCAAAAATTCCTACTTGTAATTGCAGTGTATAAGAAACAGGTCCTCCTTCTACAGAACAAAGCAAAATAATGAATTGTTTCAAGTGTAAACATGATGTCAGCTTCTACTGGCAGTTACTAACATTTGATTGGTTCTCAGAACAAGAACAGTGATTGGCCAGGAAAGCTAGACATTACAAACCACTTCATAACTGTGTTTTTTTATTTATATTAAAGTACACATAACTTTTTTTTGTATTGCAAATAATTGAATTTTGTGTTTCGTATTGAATTCAGTAATAAATTCTCTTTAAAATGATGTATACAAGTTTGCATTTTGAAACGTAACATTTTCTATAAGCATACAAAGTTCAAAAACATAAAAATTTCCAAAAGTGTCCACAATTTTGGCCACCACTGTACAATATCGATGTTCATCTTAACCGCAGAAGTCCTTAATCGGCCTTTATTTTCGTACACAAAATGTATTTCCAGTTACAAAA